TGTTCAACTAGAGAACACAAGTGCCTGCAATGAAGCTCTCCAGGTCAAAATAACTGAGATAAAAACAAACCTATCTATTTCCAGGATGATTATGACATTTGGAACAGGCTTCAAATTAAACAGGCAGAACTAACACAATCAGTTTCAGACTGAGGCTTGGCGGAAAGGCAGCCCTGGTTAGCGGGCTCCTTTTGCTCTGCTAAGCGGGACCTGCGTGTGTCTGAAGGATTTGCATGCCCAGATCTGCAAACACGGCACGAGGTTTGTTCCCCAAGACGACATGCGCCTCTGGGCTCAGGTGGGCTATGCAGACTGGGAAGACAGCCGCAGCAGGGGCGTTTCTGTTCCTGGGGACACTCTGCCCCTTCCCTGCACCACACTGTCGCCGGGCGGCCCTCCGGGCGCAGCGGCAGCACCCCTTCCTGCGCTACCTGCCATCCTCAGGAAGCTGTGTCTCCCTTGTGCTGGCGGGGAACAGTCTCAGGGCTCTGCGGACTGATAGCGACTCTCGGATTCAGTCTGGCAGTAGCACACACCAGCTGTTTCCATAAGCCTAGGCCAAAGATGGTCACGGCCGTGTAGAATTTCCCCCCTAAGTGAGTTTTAAATGAAAACTTCAAGTTTCTAAATCAAACAGTAATTCACTTTCCTCTGAATGAGACACACATCCCCTTACAGTTGAGAACAATGACAGAACGCGGGGATGCTGACCTCCTCCTTGCCTCGGACACGCCAGGTGCGTCATAAAGCAGAGCATACCCCAGAGGCTCCCAGAGGGATCGGGGCTGGGGTGGCGAGAATGTACAGTCGACTCTCTTGCTCTGGTTTATTCCGTCCTGGTTCTCATTCCCGTCCCTCCCCCTTCACTTCCCTCTTACTCATTAGCTCCCCTGCTTCCTCCCAACCTTCAAGCTGCATTCCCCCAAATCAGACTTTAGAGTCTTCTCTCCTCGTACCACACACTCATGTAGGTCGCTGTTACCCACGCTCAGGGCTCCAGACATACACGCATCACTCCCAACTCAGATCCAGCCCGGACCACTCTTCTAAGCGTCACGCCCGCTGGACAGGTGTCCCCTTGATGTCCCACAGGGATCTCGGACAAAAGTGCCCAAATGACCACTTTCTCAACCATCTCCCACACCTTGTTTCTCCTTCCCTAGTCCCTATACTGTCACCAAATCTCATACAGAGAAACCCCCTGAGGTTCCTCGGTCACCATTCTCATACCCTACGAGGGCCAAGTGCCTTTGATGTCGCGGATCTACAGGTCCACGCCAGTCAGTGAGTGGTGGCGGTGTGTGTGCGGTACCTACGGTGACACCTACATTTTGTTCTCTATAAAATTAGGGAAATTTTCAAATGACAGTAGATTTGTTGCAGATAAAAAATAACTTATGCTCATCACTACAAGTTCACAATAGGAATTCTGACCACCATTATATCACACATTTGTTTTTAAGATATTTTCATAACCACAATATAATTTTTTGTAACCTCATACATTTATTTTATGCACTTAAAAAATATTATTCAGAGAAGGGGCCCCCACATGAGAGAGCCGAAGAGACCCTGGCACAACGAAGGCTTAGAACCTTCCCTCTCGTGGCTTCCCCATCCACCCGCCTGGGGTGCGTCTACGGACTGCTCATTGGGCGTCCTGTGCCACACTAGGCCCTTGGGCGACAGAGGCGAGAAAAACGCAGCTCCTTACCCCAAGCTGGGTGAGGGGGAAGCTGACCATTTACATACTGCGTGGTGAATGCCACATTCTAGCTTGACACAGGGGGTCGTGGGGACTGGGGGGGGGGGCACCTAACCAACTCTGGGGACTGGGGAAGACCTTTTGGAGGTGACGATAGAGCCGAGTCTCATAGGACAGGGAGGGTTTAGTCAGGGGAAGAAAGGACACAGCCACAGCACCACAGGCCGTAAGTACACATTCCTCTGGAAACAACTACGCATCGGAAATACTTGCTCCAGGAAAGGGAAACAACTATGCAGTGTTGAAGCACTGCCAATAAACACAATGTTTGCTGCTGTATATTAAGTCTCTAGACCCAGGAAAAAGGGAGAAAGGAAGGGAAGAAGGAAGGAAGGAAAGAAAGGGGGAAAGAAGGGAGGAAGGAAGGGAGGAAGGAAAGAAAGGAGGAAAGAAGGGAGGAAGGTAGATAGTCAGCCCATGAGATTCTTCGTAGTTAAAAAGGCCAATTTTCCTCACGAGGATAATAAGTTCTCTTCATGTGGACAATGACAACCCAGAGGCAGAAGTCTGAATTTAGAACCAAAGTCCCCTGACAATGGCCTGCCAGTTTTGTGGTGGGTGGGGGAATTGGAAAGCCACCCACAGATGTAGCAGAGAGACTATTTCTAGACTAACTTTACTGTGGCTCCCTGACTGAATGGCACAAAGATCCATTTTTCAGAATTATTTTGGATGTTGCATAACTGAGGTATATTGAATGATTTTTGCAACAAGATGTATGGCCCAAAGGGTCTTCACACAGCAGTGCTGTATAGCTAGGAAGTCTCTGAAATGGGACAGAGTATCCTTGACTGGACCATCTAGAACAGGGATAGGTCTAGTCTTGGGAAGTGGTTTTCAAGTCGGACTCATTACCAAGGTGATTTGGAAGGTGGGAGGCAATGCCCAGCATCCTTCTAGAACTACATGCCCTTTTGGGCTTCCTTATTTTCTCAAGCAGATGGGGACATGTGTTGATTCAACTTTCCCCAATATTGAATTACAGCATGTTTCCTCTCGTTCTCATTACAGAAACAAAAAGTTCCTGTCTCTGTACCTCATTTCACTGAGGAGTTGGAACTACATTATTCTAGTGCAGAGCTCAAACTTCCCTGGTACAAGGGACAATCGATTAATTGTAAGGTAGTTCTACCCTATTAAATTAAACAATGCCCTGCTTTCCCAACTTCCACAAGTACATTTAATGCTATCTCAAAAATAAAACAAAGTCATTCCCTGGGGTTGGGAAAGTTTATTTCCCTGGCTGTTAATATTAACCTTGAAATGTCGGCCATCTACCCTGCTGTCCCCATGTTTCTGCCATAAAAGCCTCAGTAAACTCCTAGTCCTGACACAGTTACCACGAGCAGACCTCTATCTGGGAATGATTACGCCTGCATATGGATTTAACTTCGGGCAGGAACAAGTTAGCGCCTTCCTTTGACCTCGCTCTGAGCACAGCATACACACGGATCCAGGAATGATGCGTATTTTACGGCAGCTGGCTCCCCCAGGTGCTGGGACGGGCTTGGACGCACGAGGGGTCTAGTCAGTCAGCAAGTGTGAGTTTTGGAAGCGCACATCTGCCAGTCCTGTTATTAACTGGGAGCGGAGTTGTTTTTATGGACTTCCAGCCGTGAGAACTTAAACGCATTTTTGAAACAAATTCATTTCTAATTTAACTGAAAAATCAAATACTGTTTTTCTTGTCTTTTCACATCCTTCAACGACTAAAAAAAAGTTGAAAGATCTCTGGGGTTTCCTTCTGGATCCAAAATTTCAATCTCTAGCCAGTCATTATTTGAGAAATACAATGATCAATACGGCCACAGACAACACAAACTGGCATTTTCAAAAGTCCTCTCTGAGTGATGCTACTACACACAGATCAACATTCTGAAAATGTTTTTTAAAGGACACATACACTTCTTGCTTTAAGATAACTGAGATAACTGTACTGGGAGGTAATAGAAATGTGAATTAACACCATAGGTCAGTTTAAGTCAAATGTCTCAAAGTTTATGAAGAGATACTAAATTCAGTACATTCTGCTTGTGGATTCCTGGCCACTCAGCGGGGCTAGTTTCACTGCTCCCGGTCGAGGTCACAGTTCAGCGCTAATCATAAAGTTCCCAATTACCACAGTCCAAAGAAAGACAAAGGTACACACGTAATTAAAAATTTTCTAGTAGCTACATTAAAAAAATATAAAGGGATGGGTGAAATTACTTTTAATAATATATTTTACTGGGCCCAATATATCTTTTTTAAGAAAAATCCTCACCTCAGGATGTTGTATTAATATGAGAGAGAAAGAGAAAGATAGACACACACACACATGCACACACACATGGATATGGGAGACAAACATCCATTGGTTGCCTCTCATATGCACCCTGACTGGGGATCAAACCTACAACCCAGTTGGATGCCCTGACCAGGAACTGAACCCACAACATTTCAGGGTACAGATGATGCTTCAACCAACTCAGCCACCCAGCCAGGGTGAGGCCCAATATATCTTAAAATATCATTTCAGCATGTAATATTTAAAAACTATTTTACTTTTTTTGGTACTACATTTCTGAAATCCAATGTGCACTGCACTCTTACAGCACATCTCAATTCAGAGTAGCCACAAACAGCCTCTTCAGGATGGACAGACAGACAATGATGCCATGGGAGTACCAGAGCCACCTGAGTTTTAGGGCGCTTACGCACATTCTAAACCATAGTCCCCTCACAGTTTCAGAGACTGGTGCTTCCACGTGGGTTTGCGCGAGACTCTAGCATTGGTAGCAGAGACTCACAAATGCTGAATTTTTCAATATTTGCGTTTCTGCACCTGCCTGTAGAGAAAACTGGTTTTGGTGTCGGCTGGACATTCCTGCTCTGGAGAACAAGGCTCACTGAGCCACCAGGTTGCAGCAATGTTAGTTCTTTTCCAATGTTTTACTCACATTTTAATATAACTCATTTATTCTATATTATTGAGAATCTTCCCAGTACCGAGTTTTAGAGAGAAGTATGGATACTAACCCCCCGCAAAATAATTAAAATATATTTAATTATGCAATCAGCTTTACTTATTTTCTATGCAACATTCAAGGAGAGCAGTAATTTGAACTAGAAGTAGAGCTCCATATGAAATCTACAAACCCTTGAGGTCTTACAGGTTCCAACCAATTCCAACCTTTCATGTTCAGGGAATATCTCTGCCCATCTACTTACTTCCTTGCAGTACTAAAGCGATTACCTTGGGTAAGTGCTCCTTTATGGTTTCATTGTCTCTCTTCAACACCTGCCTCATTTCTTGGCTCCCAAGATAGGCAGCATTAGCTAAATTAAAAAAAAAAAAAGCCAAACACTTAGAGTAGATAGGATAAACACAACTGTCAAATTAATTGCAGTAAATTCCTGCCCCCCCCCGCCCCGCCCTGCCACACTTTGGGGCGAGGGCTCTCTGACATCAGGCAAGGGGTGCTGTTTCTGGAAACGGTAGGTCCTGTGAAAGAAGCCCTGTTCGCTCCCACTTGGCTCTCTCAGCAGCAACATTTGGCCAGATGATGGCCTAAGGTCAGGTTCCACAGCAGACGGTATGTGCAATTGCCCCTGATCACTGTGTTTTTATGATTTAAGGGTTAGAAGCATGAATGTTTACAGATAATTCATTAGAAGCACAGCTTTTTACAGATCTTTGACAGAGGCAGCATCTCACAGGAGCAGGAAGCGATGCTCTGTGGTGGGCAGGGTTCTAAGATGACACACACATTCTTTGCCCTTCCATCATTGCCTCCCTTTCGAGTGTGGGTGGAACCTGTGACTGCGATGCTATGTTGCCCCTGGACCAAGTCTTGTCCTACAGTGAAGATGACTGTAAGGAAGGTGGTCCTGGTGGCCCTAACCTAATCCCAGGAGCCTTCCAACATCTGAGCTGGTAGGAGGGGAAGTCAAAGATTCAAAGCACTAAAAGAGGAAATGCACCACAGCTGGTTTGAAGATGAAATGCATGTAGAAAGGACCCAAGAGTGACCTCTAGGAGCTGAGAGGGACAGCCAGCAAAAAAATGGGGACCGCAGCCATAAAGCCACAGGAACTGGATTTTGCCTATACCTTGAATGAGCTCAAACATGGGTTTTTGGATATGCAGGGGCATAAAGGAGACTTCTGAGACCCAGGCCAGGGTGACTCTTGGGCTGGGTGGGAGTTATGTGGGAGTCTTGCTTGATGCTCATTCATGGAGGTGAACATTTGCATTTTAAGCCCTTTTCTGCAGTGTCGACTTGTAAGGAATAACATTTTTAAAAGTAAATTTTACATCAAGCAATGTATGTTACCCATTTTATTCCTACTCTTTTTTCCCCCTGATAATTTCTCATCTAAGTATACTTAAAAAATTATTTTAAAATTATTTTTAGAAAAGATTTTATTTATTTACTTTTAGGGAGAGGGGAAGGGAGGGAGAAAGAGAGGGAGATAAACATGCGAGAGACACATCACATGGCCCCAACTGGGGACCTGGCCGGAAACCCAAGCATGTGCCCTGACTGAGAATCGAACCGGCGATCTTTCAGTTCACAGGCCAGTGCTCAACCCACTGAGCCACACCAGACAGGGCTCATCTAAGCATACTTTTTGAAAATAAAAGACAGGAGAATACCAATTGGCCTTTCCAGTGGCAGCCTCAAAGAAGTCATCTTTTTCATTCTCAGAAATGCTCATAACACAGAACGGTGATCAGAAATAATAATACCAAATAGAAGTGTAATTTCCTAAGGGAAAAACACATTTCTCTTGGCAATGACCATCAACAGCATTCCTGGAAATGAGCAGAATTCAGAGTTTCAAGCACTGCAGTGAAGGAAATATCTAGTAGCAGGAGTAATGGAAACAAAAACATGAAAGAAAGAACTATTTAGAAGGATCGTAATTGTTTACTTTTGTTTCATTACGAATCTAAATACCGGTGCTAAAAAATCTCAGTGAGGAGTCTAATATTCTATTTTATTCACTGCCATCATCTTTTGCAATCTGCGTAATGTTTAAACATTACTATAGGACTTCAACGCATGGTAGAGTGGCCCATGGTTTGGAACAGCTGCGTGGGGGCTAAAGTTGGAGATCAACAGGATGTGTTCTTCTCACAGGTCAAAAGGCATCACTCAGTTCTCCAAGTATACACAATCCACAAGAGAAGGCTGCCTTCTCTTTCACTCAGTTGCCTATCTTGATGTCATTTTGTCCGACTGGGAAAAAAACTCATCTTTTAAGTCCAATTTCATTTATCTTCTCCTCCCTTACTTATCTAGGTAGAACTAATCTTTCCTCTCTAGGTACCACTCACGCCTGCGTCTGTGTTCGTAATAGCCCTGACTGTCGTATGTCAGAGTTCTCCACATTCGTCACCCCCACCATGCTGAAAGTAACGTAAGGGCCGGGGCTCTCTTCCACGTATCATCATTCTCTCCAATGCTCATCTAAGTGTTTGGTTCCTGGCAGGTATCAGTCAAGGTCCTTCAATACAACAAATGGGAAGGGGCGGAGGGAGGAGGTAGCTGGCCTGGTTGGTGTTTTTTCGGGGGGTGAGGAGTCTGGAGGAAAAGCCTGCTGCCTTCTTTTAAGTGATGCTACAGCTGCTACCACAATGGAGGCTGGAACTGGAGGCTGAAGCATACTGGCACTGGCCAGCCAAAATGACAGGGACCAGCTTACCATGGGGACAAATCACTGCAGGCAAGAGGGAGAGCCCAAGAGCGCCTGTTAAGACTGGCCAAAAACTCAGCCAGTCTTAACATAACCCACTGCTCAGTGCAGCAAAAGAAAATGCAGAGGGAAGTAAAACCACAGTTAAAGACAAAATGGGGGCTTGGGGGAGACGTATGAATCGCTCTCTGAAGGAGAACTTGGGGGTGGAAAGCCACGCTTCCTGCTGTTTTGGTGGTATGGTGATTCGGGAATGCCCCATTTGTTTGGCTTTGCCATCACGTTGGGGAGACAGAGCTGTCGGCGCTGGAGCAAAGGGAACTGCTGGGCACAGTTCAACTTGGTGAACCTCCAAGGTAGGAAATCGGCCACAGGCGGGTGTGTGCACTGCAGTAAAATGTGATTGTTATTCTGCCAACACGTGACTTCAATCACTTTTTTTTTTTTTACATGGCTGTCAGGTTCTGTATGTCCAAAGTAGACAGCATGAGTATATACAGAGCACATACAAAGAAAAAGCACTCTCTCTTAAAAATGCTCATTTCAAGATTTGTTGCATTGGAAAGAGGGTTTGGTACATTCACCTCCATGATGGGAGGGCGGCTGGGGAGAGCAGCCATTGGTAAGCACACACTTAGGCATGAAACAGTGAGTTTTCTGCGAAATTCTCTTTAAAATACAAAGGGCACAGACCAGCACCGTGGGAACTGAGGCGGGCCCTACTGCGGCCGCACGCGTGCGGACACTCTCCGCGGAGAGCCTGCCGCAGGCCCGCTGCAGCCCCCGTCTCAGGCTGTGTTGCGGGGCTTACGAAGCACAGACAAGTCCAGGAGGGATGGGGCCGTGGCGGGTTTTCATTTCAGTGGGGAGAAGGCGGAGTTAACTGTCTCGGTCACTGGTTAACTAGTATGCATGGAGTTAACTAGCTGGATGTTTGACAGGTGGGCTATGCTATAAAAATTAAGTCCATGGAAGAGGAGTCCCAGGGCCTCCTTGGAGTGGGGATGTATCAGATACTACGTACCTACCCAAAATACCACTAAAGAAACAACCCTTTTTTCTCTACTAGAGACATAGGAAAGTTGAAACACACGACTTCATATCCCCTATGGCTAGGGATGCTGCATAGTTCTGGCCAATAACCTATCGGCAGAAGTCCCTGGGAGAAGACTTCTCTTTCTCAGTAAGCCAAAGCCCCATTAGGAATGAGCCTCCCACTCTCCCCCCGTCCTCCCCCTTCACCCGGCTGAACGTCAGACATGAGGCCTCGAGGGGCAGAAGTCATCTTGTGATCAAGGGATGATAGCACGGAAATAAAGGGTTATATGCAAAGGACGAGAGTGGAAATCCAGAAAGGACCCACACCCCTGACGGCACCATCCTGACGCTCTCCTGCCCTGGGCCAGATAGCCCCGGAGACCCCGGGCACAAGGCACACAGGCTCCTGCTCGGGCACTGCCAGCTCGCTGTCACTTACCGCTGAGCTCCATCCCTGCCGATCAGAGCAGGTAAAGGCGGGTCCTCCGTGATTCCTGGGCGTTTTTGGTCAGAGCACAGGGGTTGGTGCTGTTCTTAACCTCCTACTAGACTCTGGGGCTTGTCTGGGGGAAAGGTGGCATCAGGCCGTACCTCCACGTAACGAGGGCTTCCCCGCGAGGGAGCAGAGGTAGCAGCTGACCGCAAAAGAGCCTTTCCAGGGATGGCCCCTCCTGGCATGTCTTCTGACTGGTCGTGAGGCTGGCCAGACACTGCTGGACGGAGGGGGTCAGACAGGTGCAGGCCAAGCAGGATGGCAAGGGAGCAAGGTCCTTGGGTTTGGGGACAGGCTGTGAGCCTGGATGGCCCTGGAGACACGGGTGTCAGGTCTTCTTATGAGGGGAGCTCTTTGGTGGTCTTTATTTTTTTCCAGGTTGTTTTTAACCTTTTCCTAATGGTGCCAAATGTGGCTTTTCGCAATGTGAAAACTAGACTTAAAAATGTAATTCTTCCATTCTAAAATTTCTGCAGAACTTAGAGGAATGTGTATTATTCACACAATGTAGTACGCATGTCTCCATAAGCCAAGAATGTGGTTATTATAACCATCCATTTCATTTGCAAACAGATAATCTTACCTATGTACTAATAAGTTCACCAAAGTGAAAAACACAATTCAAAGTATATGATTTAAAAAGAAAATACAGTTTTTAAAGGGGGCAGATAATTTAAATATATAAAAATGTAAAATTTTCTTTAGAAAAAAATAGTAAAATCTTGTCACTTAATTCTAAAACAGAGATGATATTCTAGTACCATATCTAACCACCTTTTGCCCTAAATCCTAATACTAATCACATATACACAAAAACATCTTTTTCTTCATTGTTGAATTTTAGGCTGAAATTCCATTAATCATTAATGTTGAAGCTGGCTTTCATAAACGGATTTTCCTAAGCTACACACATAAATGACAGAATAGGAACATGGAAGTCTAGTTTTGTCTTATTCAAAAAATTATCCTGGGATTGAGTTAGACATATTCTGAGAAGAAATTTGTGATTCTTTAATGAAGCTCACTGAATAGTTCAATTCTTTTCATATCACTACACATATTTTCAGAAGTTATTTTCATATTGATTAAGGAAAGATTATGAGAG